TCCCGCCTTTGTCCCGCCCGTGTCCCAAGTGCCACGAGTGCTCAGCCTTGTAGCTTTTCTGTAGCTCTTGCGCATGGTTTTCAGAACTGGGCTTTTGCGACTCACGCTTTTACTGTTTTGCGCACGGACAAGCTTTTGCATTCTGGAATACCGTGAAAGAAGCCTTTGCGATTTTAGCTGCCTCTGATTTTTGCCAACAGATTATCATCTGGATCTCGGCACATCGGTGTGTTGCATTACAAGAGGCTGAAGGCGCGGAGCATCAGGATTGAACTCGTTCCGGTCCCAAGTCCGGACTGTGCAATGGATTGGAGATTGGTCTTGTGGGTCTTTGCTCTTTTCAGTTGCGCAGGGCACGAGGGTGGCGTCTGTGCCATGACAGATGCCGTAGCAACACCAGCTTCACCACAGACAGCTGGAAGATCGGTTGCGAAGCACAATGGCGTATTGGCCACAGGGGTCTTCGGTCTGATATCCTCTAGGAACAAGCAGATCATTGTTAAAAGAACCTTCACAAGAGCCTGTCGGCGAGCTCTACGCATTGGCTCCACAATGTACAGGGGACGTCCATTTACTATGCATGACATTCCCGAGGACATGCGACAACACCTGCAAGCTGAGACGCCTTCAGTCTCGCAGTCGGGATCTTGCTTGCAGTCCTCGACCCACACCACACAGCACTCTACATCTCCTGAACATATCAGACGTGCTAAGATGACCAAGCCTCGACTTAGCTATATGGTATGGAATGCTGGTGGTCTTCCTTATGATGAATTCATGATATGGACAACGCAGGCCACGTATGACGTTTTGATAGTAGTGGAAACACGCATGAGTTTCACTTCGGAGTGGAAGCTTCCAGGGTGGCATTGTGTGCATAGCGGCCAACGGAACTCTGGTATCTTGATCATGATTGCAGACAGGGTGTGCAACATGGATGGGATCACCTGGAGAGAAGTACTACCGGGGCGGCTGGTTCACCTTCGGCTGCATGGAAAGTCCAATATTGTTAATCTTATTGGGGCGTATCAGTATGTATGGAAACCGCAGTCACCGAGTAGTCTGAAGAATCGCGCCAAATTTTGGAAACAACTGCAGAACACACTACAGCTGTGTCCTTCTAGAGATATAACTCTCTTGCTGGGCGATTTTAACACAGATTTGGAACCTCGAAAGGGGCGCGTGGGCCCTCTGAACTTGAATCAGTTGGCACCGAACTTCGCTCGATTTGAGGATCGAGAACAGCTTGGGCAGATCTTGGACTTGTTTAACCTGGTGATCCTCAATTCTTGGAATGGTTGGCATGCCACGTACAAATTTGAAGGTGTCAATCAAGCCCAAAGCAGAATTGACTTTGCCATCACTCGTCGACCTCAAGCGGACATGCTGGCTCGCCACACTCAGTTCCTCGATGATTTTCCAGTTGCTAGACATCGCACGGGATCACGACATGTACCTGTAACGGGAACCATTCCTATGACCTGGACCCCTTGGAAGCCGACTCAGCCACCCGGTCTCAAATTCACAGCCCAGCAGCGCAGGGATATTCATGAAGCATGCAAACATCAGACTACGCAGTGGTATGCATTTAGCAGCGCCGTGACCGTTGCAGTGCATGAGCTCTCGGATGGCACCTTTGAGCAGATTGAGGCCATTTTGACTTCTAGATCGCATCAATTCTTTCCGACCGCATCGCAGGTGACGCGAGCCAAGCCTTTTCAGGATCATGCTTTGGCAGGACAAACACGTCTGATGTGGAGCCTGTATTCCCAAATGAAGCGGTGTCATGGTCAGGATCTGCGGTCTCTACTACAAGCGTGGCGACTCCGTGCCCGTTTTCATGCCGTCAGCACTGCACTGAGGAAGCGTTCCAAGATACTTAGGCGTGAAAAACTGGAGACTTTTCTTCAGGAGGCGTCCGAGTGTGCACTAAAATACGATGCTCAGGGATGGTATAAACGTATCAATTCTCTTTGCCCTAGGCAGGAAGCTCGTCGAGTGCACATACATGATGCGAAGGGTCGGCCTCTCGGGCCAGCCGGTTCACTAGAGTGCTTGCGTGAGTACTATGGCGAGCTGTTCGGTGATTCAGACTTCAACTTGCAGTACATGGAGCCCATGAGTGAACTTCCCTTCAGTATAGATGATGTTCAGCAAGAGCTCCAAGCGTTGCCAGCGCTCAAGGCGCTGTTACCTTCTACAGCGCCGGCGACGGTGTGGAGGCAGCATGCTGACTTGATTGCGCCTTACCTCTATGCCGAATTGCATCGACATTGGTGTGGAGAGCATTGCAGTCTGCCTTCTGCTTGGCTGAATGGTTGTCTCGCCTTACTAAACAAGCCAGGGAAATCGCCGAATCGGCCAGAACACCTCAGGCCCATATGCCTTCAACATCCAGCCAGCAAAGTCGTGGCAGGTGTGGTGACAAAATTGGTGGCGGCTCATGTGGCCCCGCTCTTTGAAGCTTTGCCATGTTTTGCGTATCTCCCCTGCAGATCGACTGGACATTGCTTGATCCGAGTCTTTGAGCACTGCCGAGACATTCGATCGTTGACAACCAGCACTAGGCAACATAATCGCACCCATAAAATCAAACATATGCTGACAGGCGGAGTGCAAATTGCCTTGGACATGCAGAAAGCCTTCGATGTGGTGAACAGGCCGTTTGTGATAGAGTGCATTGATGCAATCGAGCTTCCAAGTGACTTGTCTGTGGCCCTGAAAACCTCGGTTATGAACGGAACCTATAGGGGGCCAAGGACTCCCCCTTGATATGGAACATCGTGATGCTGGGGGTGCTGCGACGCCTCGAGGCCAAGCGTGGGCGGGATTGGGTCATTAAGCATTTGACGATATTCGCTGATGACATTCACGGGGGATGGAAATTCACAAATGAAAAAGAGGCTGGCAAAGCTATCGGTGATATTGGGGTCTTGCTTGCAACGTTGGAGGAAATGAAATTCCGCATCAACTACAGCAAGTCGGCAGCGATGATGGCTGTTGCAGGTGCACGGGCCACACAATTTCAGTCCAAGTATGTTCATCGTTATAAGGAGGGCCCCTTTCTTCGTTGTATGGTCTCAGCCGCTGATGTGAAGTTTCTACCCGTGGTGAGCAAAACGGGCTATCTGGGGGCAAGCATCAGCTATCACAGATTTGAGCGCGATACAGTTGATAGACGAGTTCGCGCTGCGCAGACGGCGTTTGATGGGCTCAAGAAGGTACTGTGCGACAGGGCTCACCATCGACTGATGGACCGACTTCGGTTATACAACACTTGCGTCTGGTCTACTCTCACGTATGGGGTCCTCGAGGTTGAAGTTGACTCTTATGGTCTAGGTCGTATTCATCGTCTCGTGGCCAAACATTATCGAATCATGATTCGTGTACGTGACCACGAACACCATGAAACCACTAGAGATCTCTTCAGAAGACTTGATCAGCCTCTTCCATGGCAACATCTCGCGACCATGTTGGCGGCGAAGCATAGGAAACAGGAGTCTAATCGACGTCATCTACCAGCTCGTGACATCACTCAGTGGCTAGCTCTTCCCTCTAGTCCAGCACTCGCAGACAGAGATACCGCTGAGAAGATCACGGGAACGCAAGAAGAGAAGCACACTGTGGAGCCGACGGTGTTCTGCCCAGACTGCCCGTTCACATGCCGAAGTGCTGCAGCCCTGAAAACACATCAGCGAAATGAGCATCCGGATCGAGCCTCGAAGTCTTCTACCGTTGTTTTCGAGCCACTTCGTGATTCCTTTCAGGGCACTGCAGAGTGCAGGCATTGCGGCTTGAAGTTAAGGCACAAAACCAACCTGGTTCAGCATATCGTTGGCGGTGCATGTGCTCAGTTCGATGAGGCTGCTGACTTTGCCATTCAGCCACTGTGGACCCGGACAGAATTCGAGTCTTCACTCGCTCAGGGGGGAGCTATTAAGCTGCTCATGCAAGATCAATGCTGTGCTGCCATGCGCGGTGGTTGCGGTTTATGTGGGCAACAATGTACACTCAGAGGGTTGTTCAGGCACTTTGCCTACAGTCATGGAGCTCTTGCGCCATCCATTCGTGAACGATCGAATGCTTTGCACAAGGAGGTTGTTGTTCCCAAAAGCAGCGGGGTCTGTAAATTTTGTATGGAGCGACTCTCAGGTAAGTCGACGCATGTGTGCAATGTGGTGCTGCATGCTGCAGCTCTCGAGATCTTTCACAAATCCCAGCAGTCCAGCACAGCCGTTGAGGAACCAAAGCCAAGTGATGCTGATGATGGGCATCCAAGTGCCACGACCCCGAAGGCAATGCAGCCCGGAGCTTCCGCCCAAGCCATCAGTTTGCCGAGTGTGCGTTGTCAGCATTGCTCTAGGGATTTCTCTGACAAGGCGAAGCTTCGAGATCATCTGCGTCGCAAGCCACCCAAGTTCAGGCCCCGATGCACTCAGGTGGAGCCTGGAAGTGTGAAGTGCAAACAGTGTGGTAAGGAGATGCCTGCTTGTTTGTTCCCAGCACATTACATTGATCAGCATGCTGCCGATGATACACAGACTACATTGGATGGCTCGAATCTCGTGACCAGAAAGAGACAGGCCTTGGATTCGACTCGACAGGATCGGACCTCACTTGACACACCGACGGGACCTAGAGATGACTGCGGCCAGTTTCTTCCAGGATCCGAGCTTCCCAGACCAGTGGGTGGACGGCGAAGATCAAGATCAATCGCACCTGGAGCTGATAGAGACCATGGCACCTTTCATGGCGGGTCACTCGATGGGCCCGATGAACATGGCAGACGGACTTCATCCCCTCTTCCAGGCCCCCGCACCGAATCGGCAGGGAATGATGAGGAACCAGTATGGACAGAAACGACAGCGTGGATCACAGGGTCATGTGCAGCAGGTGAGGGGCCCCGGCTCCGGTCTCGGTCCCCAAGGCGTGTCGTACCCGGCTCTGCTAAGGATGATGGCCATCCAACTGCAACGCCAGGAGGAGGCCTTGCGAGTCCTGGCGCAAAGCACCGCAATGATGTTCTTCATGCAAGCAGGGCCTGGCTCTTTTCTGCCCAACCTTCTTCAGTTGAGTCAGACGTGGCATCAGAAGCAGGCGGCGGGGCAGGTGGACAAGCCATTGCGTCAACACATGTCGGTGGCGTATTGGACGGAGCTAGGAAACCGAGTCACGAAAGCCCAAGAGCAGCTGGGTCAGGAGCTGGGACAGGGGCTGATGGCGAAGAAGATCCTCACTGCGGAAGGGGCTTGGGCATACATGGCATGGGACCAGGCAACAAAAAGTCTGAAGCCCACGACGCGGGAGCCCATCAAGATGGCGGACATGCTCACGTTGTTGAAGGTCATCGTCGAGCACCTCAACATGCCTGGCATGATCACTCGCTTCAAAGCACACAAAGCACAAAAGGCGCTCAAAGCAGTGAACATGAAGGAGGCGGCCTGTGTCGCCCCGTGGCAGCTGGACATCTCTTTGCGCCACCCCCAGAGCTCGCGCTTGTGGGAGAGCCTCGTGACACTTCAGGGGAATGGGGTGCTACAGCTTCTCAACACACAGATGCGAGCAGCCACCCTTCGGAGGTCCAAGTTGTGCGATCAGATTGCCCAGCAGGTGTTCAAGAAGAATGGCGGGGCTTTCTCAGGCAGCTGAAGCTACATAATGCTGATCAGTGCTGCTATGCCAACTCGGTGATCGTGGCTCATTTGTGGGCCTTGATGACGGGGTCCTCACCGAGTAGTGAGTCGACATGGGTGCAGCACCTACGTAGGACTTTGGTGGCGCATGAATGGCAAGGTTACCTCAAACATCTTCCACCGGTCGATTCCGTTATGAAAGATTGGTTCCTTGAACATAGTGCTTATCGACAACATGATGCCGCCGAGTTCTATCATTGGTGCATGCAGAATAGCCAGTTTCCACAGCATTCGGGGTATTGGTGGCGATTTGAAAAACATGCATCGATGCTGAATGTGTGCATACCGCTATTGCTGCAGCACGGAACTTTGAGTTTGCAAACGTCGCTTTCGCAGTGGCACAGAAGCTCTGATGTGGTGCATGTTATGTGCTCCCAGGCCCAGTTCGTGTGCATGCAAATCGGGGACCGACTTCGAGCAGAACAACCGCAATGGCCTGAGATACTTGATGCGGATTTTCGTTTGACTCTGCCTCACCTTGTGGATGACACTGGAGTTCCATCGGCTGATAACGTGGAGTGGCGAGCCTACCAGGTCAGCGCATGTGTACTACGCAAGGGGTCTCAGAGGGAACATGGGCATTGCCAGGCGATGCTCTTCAGCTCATCGGGCGTCTATTTGTGTGATGATGGTCGGAGTGCCAAGCTGCTCAACGATGACGAAGCCACTCAAGAGCTACAACACATGTACATGCTTTGGGTCGTGCATGATCCCGATGCTCAGGTCCCCCAGTCATGGACATGTGAGTCAGATGACACGGCCACTGCGATGACGGTGCCGAGCAACTCATCCCAGGCCTCGCTCCTGGGTGCGTCGTTTTCGATTGCCGATCTTTTGCAAGCTCACTTTGGATAAGGAAGGTGTCTTCACTTGAGTTCGTGACTTTGAGCGTGGCTGAGTTCCTCTTTCTTAGGCTACTTTTAAGACGAGTGCGAGCTGCATGTTGCATGTTTTGTTGCGCGCGTCCATTCGGGCCAACTTGACGACTGCTGGAGCGTGATGCCCTGAGTGCATTACGTGCAATGTGCTCCCATGTATATAACTTCATTTCGGTAACAGATCTCCAGTGCCTTGTTCTAGAACAAGAAAGATGGGCCCCGAGATGCATGCACTGGAGTATTAAGCTGTTGTTTCCGAGTAACATCATTGGGCCAGGGAACTAGAACAAAATTTACCTCCCACAAGAAGGAGCCCTGGTCCAGGTAAGCTTCCACATGCTGTGCATAGTTTCATTGCGTGACAGCTGAGCTTGTGAGGCACATGCGGGGGTGCAGATCAGGTTGGAGCTTGGCGCCGATTTTATCAACAGGCCATGGATTGGCCACGTGCATAGTCTCTTTTAGTGATGCCTGGGAGAACCCGTTGAGGCACTGCGCCGAAGCATTTTGGAATTCGTTTTCGTTTTCGTTGCTGAAAATTGCGACAAAAAAACGTCCCAAAAATTGTGTGTGCGCGCGCGCGCGCGCGCGCGGGGGTCCAGAGCGTCGCACATGACGTACGCTTCGTTGAATTCGTTTCTGTAATTAGTTTTGGCTCGTACTTTATGTTTCGGATTGGCAGTTTTCGATTCCTGGCATCGATTGGCCAATACTTTCAAGCGCGAGCTCACTGTATAGAAGGAGCTCGGAGTGCTCACGCAACACAGCTTGAGTCAAGGCGACTGGCAAACGAGGATGAAGCTCCTCCTTTAATGCCTTTTATGCCTTTTCAGTTGCATAATTTTATTTGGTTACACTTTTCATTTCCCGCAACTTGGTTCAGTTCTTATGGCTGGGCTGCAAAGGCTTTCTAAGGCACCACGGTGCACGGCCTGCACCCACGCTTGTCTGTTTGTGTTTGTCCTAGGGGTAAGCTCGTCTTCAAGACGACCTGTATTGTGTACAGTCAACGATACAGTAGGCCCACGACAGCGTCGGAGACGACAGCTTCGTTGCAAAGCAAAGCAAAAGCCCGTGTCCCGCCACGTCCCACCCGTACTTGGACTCCGTTTTGTTGTCCTCGCGACTCTCTTGCCATGCCTATTTCATGTCCCAACCATGTTCCGTGAGAGTTTCGCCAGCGAAGACAGCCACAGCCATGCTTGCAACCATACAGACATCAAAGTAATTAGTGCAGTTCATGAGGACATCCACTCTCGGATGTCGTTGCAAGCA